CTAGGGTTCCTCCCCAGACCTAATGAACCAGAAACCCTGGGGGTGGGACCCAGTCATCTGCCTTTCAACAAGCTCTCCGGATGATGCTGCTGCAGGCTCAAGTGTGAGAACCACTGACCTAGACCAGTGGTTTCTTATGCTTCCCCCATCTTGAGAATCACCCAGAGTGCTTTTTAGCAGGTGGATTCCTGGTCCCACCTCAGACCGGTTGATTCAGATGCCCAGGGAAGGGGCCTGAGAAAGTAGAGAATCAACACATGTCACATATAATTCTTATCATCAGGATGGTTGGGAACCATTACTCTAGAACTTAGCAAATATTTCTCTCCCCGTACTCCCATTTCTCAGGTCAAAGTCCTAGACCATCTTACAAAGCCTCCAAGAAGGACTCCTGAGTCTGGCGGGAGCAGCGATTTCCTCATTTTAGATACTCTGATTCTTGAAGCTGAACACGTGGCTTTCAGCTTCTCATGACTGTTGCCTTGTTAGAGCTGTTGGAATACATGCCTTATTGCCTTTACTTGATTATTAGCTCCTTGAGAACCAGACTCTAGTGGTGTTTCACTTACTCTCTTCTCCCCAGAAAACATACTAGAAGTCCACAACCTCATATGCAATTCCCCAATACTAAAAGCTCTGAAAACGAAAAGGTTTTCTCACTCACTGGATGGCAGAACTTGTCCTGAACTGACCTGTGTCTGTTTACAGTCTTTTTCATCCCACTTAGGGTGGGTAGTCATCTATGTGTTGCAGAAATTTTAAAGTATTTGATGATTGGGTGTACCCCAGGCCCCAACTGGGAGGTGTTACCCATTATATGGTATGTGCAGTAGATTTCCTTTCTAAAATCTGAAAAATTCTGTCTTCAGTGGTTCTGGATAAGGGACTGTGAACCAGTCGTGTCTCAGATCGTTCTCAGTTTAATCAGAAAATTTGGAATTGTGATGTTGGTGAAAGTAGGCATCACTGAGCTTGATACTTTTGTATTAGTGTCCCAAAGGAAAAGAAAGCTTCTAGTTCTAGGCGTAACCTGGTACTTTCCATCCTGCTGGAAAGCCCTGGAAGGCTTCCTGCTGGAGTCTGACTGTGACACATGGGGTTTTGATTTTCATGTCATAAAACTGAGCCCATAGATTTGTCCTGGTTTTACTGCTGTTCTTGTGTGTGTGTGTGTGTGTGTGTGTGTGTGTGTGTGTGTGTGTGTGTGTGTGTGTGTGTGTGTGTGTGTGTGTGTGTGTG